ATCAAACGTTTTCCAAACGCTCACCTTTGGCTGAAATGCTGCAAGGCAATGCGAAGACCTTCGGCGGGGGCTTCTTCGGAGTTCACTGAGGTAGATGGGCATCGTACGCTGATGCCGTTGCCATTGGACGAAGAGAGGTTGTCATCGAGGTGCGCGCCGTCGCCCAATTTTGCGACGTAGCTTTCGAATGAACGTTGGAACTGCATCTCAGACTCGAGCTCGTGCATACCAGCGACGGCGATCACTCACGTTGACATGGCAGACACAACTGACACTAAGTTGCAAAAACAACCTGGTCAACGTATATTCGACGAAGCGCGAAGGAAAAAACGCAAAGTGAACAACACCTGATAACATCCAGCAATCATTCCAACTAACAACAATTCAGTAATCACTGATGAACCTTGAAAAAAACAATGCACAGTCCGGACAGAGAAGTGTCAAACAACAACGACGAACTCAAACAAACAAACAAACTAGACACGGAAAGGCACAAGTGACGGCCGGTTTTGTCAAGGCTGTCAGACATTAACTTTAAGCCCGTAATCGCAAAACTATTTTTGAAACGATGCAAAGCCTGGCATTCTTCGAAAGCCCTAGATAACATTTAAATGACATATCGTATTTTAAAGCCGACCGCTAAAAACTCTTCCATCCACCTGCTACTACAAGTTTTGGCCAAAACCGTGCCTATTCTCGCAACGAACAAATATAACCTTTATGTTCCTGCATACAGTTTCTGTGAGTATCGTATACCAGCCCCAAATTACAGAAATTTGTGCATTCCTTGATGCCTTAGGCATAAAACTTCCAGCCACTTGGAGTAGCCAAGAAGCGATCGGCGATCTTTCTTTGCTGCAAGAAAAATTTGTGTTTCTGACAGTAACACGATGAAAAAGGCTTTTCAAGCTTAGCATGACGCTTTCAAAGGGTCACAGTTGTATGCTTTATTTTCGCAGTTTCTACGGGCGTCAAAATTTTAAAAGGATTTTCGCCATAGTAAATATTGAGAAATCGATAGAAAATGTTGGTTTATAATAAGTTAACTGATAGCCACTCCATTCAGCACGTTTCCTTTTCGCGACCCAGCGAACCACTGACGGTTGGCTCGACACAATCACGTTCGTTAACCGTCGCCATCATTTTATTTTAAAGCGGAAAGTCGTATTATGTAGGCGAAGTTTTACTGACTAAACACAGAGGGTGTAGTCGAAATAATCTGTCACAGAAAGTCTGATAAAAGTATTTTTCAGTCGAATGACTGTACTTATCTTTGCAGTATTTTTGATTAATGTTAACGTTCTAAACGGTATTTTGGTGTCTCAAATTTTGCCATTCACTTCTGTCAGTCAGTTTTGTATCGGGGAATTACGTCAAAGTCCAAACAAAATTTTCGGAGATGATGCAGTATCAGAACATTGCAAAACTTGCAGAGTGCATATCGTAAATTTTTATTTACACGTGCGGTGGATCGGCTGAGAACATACTCACAGTGAACAGCCGACCGGAAGTGCAAATTAAACTAATTTAATTTGCAGTCAGACTCTGTCAGCTTTCGCCATAAGTCACTGAGTTGAAATGCCTTATGCCTTATATTTCCTATGAGAGTTGGTGCCAAGTAACGGTCATTTACGAATTTGGCGTTACTTCACAATCATACTTGATAGTGTAATCTGTTAACGAGGTTCCCTTCTCCTCTCCGCTCCAGTCTGAAAATTTTATTGTTCGTTATTCCTTTGTTCATTTATTCATTGATCAATCCATTCATGTATTCATTCAATTCTTCATTAATTCACTCATTAATTTTCAAAACCCGCAATTTGCCTTAAACAGAAACAAATACGGCAGCGGTATCATTGTTGACGCCATTATCTACATTATTATCATAATTTTTAACTCCTTCAGACAATTGCATTGTGGAGATGCACATATCAACCAGAGACACTATGGGATGGCATTACGATGAACAAGGCGGGCTATTTCAAGTGCCTCGAAGTTTATTAACGAACGATGGAGACATTGATCCTGAAATGAGTCATCGTACTGGTCGGGTATCGATGAATTTCGCCAAGCTGCGTAGCATATGGAAAGATCGAAATATAAGAACTTATACAGAGATTAACATCTTGAATGTAGCCGCACTGCCTCGAAACATTCGTTGTCATGAAGTGTCGTGAAGCTCGTCTAAACGGTTTCTAACAACGCTGTCTCCGCAGCATCCTCAAAATGTGATGTACCACCGGATGAAGAATGAGCAGATGTTGAAGACCATCGGATCTGAGAAAACTACCAATTTAACTGAGAGACCAGTGCCTGGTTTGGCTTGATAAAACAGCCCCGAAAGGGATTGCAGGTCTTTACAAAACTTGTCGCACAAGGAAACAGCCAACTAACTAATTACAAACGCGTTGGACGACAATACAACGCGCGAAAACTCCTCTTTGAGGCAGACTCATTTTGCGAAAAGCAATGTGACCCTTGCCCCTGCAATGAGCGTTGCCTAATATCGATCAGAAATATCATTTCTAACTGTCAGACGTCATCAATATGAGTTACGCTGCTGCTTAAGCTCTGTTAACCTCTGCTAACACCAATACCTGTACGCTTTTTGG